TCTCTGAAATCACAGTCCTCATCCTCAAAGAAAATCTTCACAACAGCTTCAGAAGACAAAGGAATTTAAATTACTTACTTTGCCAGATGCTAAAAATTATAAGCTAAACTGAGACACTGGTTTGGTGGGCCATTATGATTTGCCTTCACACCCTTCTTCCTGCTAACCCTTAAATGTCCACTTCCTTTTAAGAGATCTCCTAGAGCCTATGTAACCCCCTTAATGCTTAACAGTCTGCCCCCATCTTATATTTTACAGTCCAGTTCCCTTCCCTAGACCTGAAGAATGCTTAGTGAAATTCAAAAGCTTGTCCTTTCCACCAACGGAAATTGGTCCATTAAAAAGTTTAACATTTTCCTACCTTGTCAGTTAGCACAGATACTCTGGTATTTGTTTTTCCACTTTCAAGATTAAATACAGTAAGCCACCAAATGAGATCGCCATCTTCAGCCTCTAGCACTGGAATTTTTGTCCATTTCTTTATATCAAGATACAGATCATGCAAGATTTCAAAAGCACATTGATAATTGTCCTGTGATGATATGCTGGAAATTATCCCAGGACTGGCATGCACACATTTTAACCTTTTTTCACTCTTCCTATGAGAACAAATATGAAGCTAAGTTATGCTAAAATGCCATACTCTTTAACTCGAGCAAATTCACACATAATAAAATATACTCTGTCTTGGGTACAGTAGATTTTAAAAACGTGTTAATACTCTGTCTTGGGTACAGTAGATTTTAAAAATGTGTTAGCTAACATGCTAACATTACATTTTTTAAAATCTAACTTAGAAAAGTCCCAAGAGAAGAAATGAGAATTTCCCAACTGTACCAATCAGGTACTGCATTTGATTTTTCTTTTTACTTTTATAGTGAAAGCTAAAATGAGCGTTCTGAATTAATACACAAGCAATTTTCAGTTATCTTTATGCCCAGACCTGGACTACGAAAATTCATCGTGTTTTAAAACAACATAGAGATAAACTTGTCTTAACAAACATGCTTTTAAATTGGACTTTGCACCTAGGATATACAAGGCGAAAGATTAGGGCTGCTTGAAAAAAACCTGAAATTGTCAAAAGTAAAGGGATTAGAGAGACATGGTGGATAAGGTAAAATCTTTTATTGGACCAATTTCTGTTAATGAGAGAGACAATTTAATTTACAGTGAATTCTTCTTGAGTCAACACTGTGTAAGTCTTAAAGTTTCTCTCACCAACAGGTGATAGTCCAGTACTTTACCCCACTTGCCTTTCTAATATTCTGGGATCAACACTACTTTGAATACGAAAATAAGGGGATGACATTTTTTATAAGCTTTATTAGCTCATATTAGTTGAATGTGATTTACACAGAGGGTGAGCCTCGAATTGATCACAACAGGTTAACAAAACATCTCAACTTGGCCTGTCTATACTAGATTTAAAAAATCATGTTTAAAATCATATTAGATAAAATATTACCTATTTTCCTAGTCTATCTATATCTATATCTATATATATGGCCTGTGTGGAATTGGAATCTACCTGTTCTAGTTATAGTCTACCTTAGAAGAGCAGGAAAATGTGTGCTGTTCCCATGACTTATTCCTCTTATTGACTAACACCAGACAAATAGCATAAGAACCAGGCTGTAACTTTGGCTCTCATTCTATATAGTCAATCTTGTGACTAAAATATGTATTTTTTTTCTTTCTATACAGATGGGCCAGTTTTACTATTCAGCCAAAGCTTTTGACGTTCTGGAGAGACTAGATCCTAACCCTGAATATTGGGAAGGCAAGAGGGGTGCCTGTGTGGGCATCTTCCAAATGATCTTAGCTGGCCGAGAACCAAAGTACGTACCATTGCTGTGTATGAATGTCTCTTGTTAGTCTTCCATTCCCAGCAAGCTGAAGCTAGAACCACAGTTACAGCTGCTTTTGTGAAGAGACACACAATTTCAGGAACAGACGTCCCATATACTTCCAATTTTTTTTTTTTTTGAAAGAAACCTCTGCTACCCCAGTAGTTGAACAATAAATAACTACTGTTAATCTCTATCTTCCAGCCAACTGGAACAGTCTATGTTTTGGAAAATAATCCATCATCTAGTTATGCTCTGCACTTCAAAGACCCAAATAGGACATAGTTCTTGAAGTAGCTAAACTACAGACACATCATGTTTCTTACCTAAAGGCAGTGAGAGAGGACCTCATATCACTGGTTAAGGCAGGCCTGGGCAAAATACGGCTCACAGGCTGATGTGGCCCGCCAAGCTACTGGATCTGGCCCACGGACGCAGTGGGAAGCTCCAGGCAGGCAGGCTCCCTAGGTAGCGCCACATGCTGCGCAGAGAAGTGGATGCAGGGCTCTGTTTCTGTTTTGAAACTGGATGCGAAGGGTGTGGGGTAGAGTTTTAGGAGACACCCCACCCCCAGCACATTCCCACTGGCTGGTTTCTGACAGAAACTGTCCAATGGGAGCTGCCTGTTAGAATAACAAGCAGCTAAGAAGAATCATGCCCCCTCTCCTGCACTCAATTATTCATGAAGCACATGGCCAGGCAAACAGGCAGGCTGGCTGGGAAACATTTTAAACTCTGCAGGCAGGCAGGTTAGTTTGGCAGATGACAAGTAATTCTCTTGGCCACAGCCTGCTTCTGGCATCCCAGCACTCCCCTCCTCTCTCTGTCCCCCCACCACCCACTCAATATAACCAAACCCTCTGTCCCCCTCTTACACCCATACCCCCTCCCAGATCTGGCACCCCAATCTCCTGCCCCAGATCACAATCCCCTCCAATCCCTAGGTCACATCCCAAACTCCTGCACTCCAGTCCCCTGCCATAGGTCACAACCACCTGCTTCATCCCAACTCCCTCCCAGACTCATCTCCCTCCTGCACCCCAGTTCCTTACCCCAAGCTTCCTTCTGCATTTCAGACACCGCATCTCCATTAATATCATGGAAGAGTGCAGCCCTCAACCACTTTCCAAAATCTTGGAGTGGCCCCCCCATCAAAAATGATTGCCCACCCCTAGCTTAAGGAGAGGTACTGATAACCTCTGAGTGGAAGTTGTATCCACTCCTCTTTGGTCTTGGAATTTCAAGGACAGCAGAATTAAAATGGGAGGATGGTTATTCACACCTCAAAGAGGGATAAGAAACATGTTTCTGAATGATGAATGAATGACGTGAAAGCCCAATGTCTCTTACTGCACATTTCATCCATTCCACGCATAGCTTGGATATTGGTTTGATTGAATCACTAAAAGAAAAAAGGAAATGGTCCTTTTCCTTGATTTTATTGATTGTTTTGCCTTTGGCATATCTCTCTGGATATGGAAGGGGGGAAGATAGAGGGATACTTTCTGCTCCTGTTGTCTAGTAAGAAGTCAGCTATGCTGTGGGCGAATAAGCTCTGAAAGCAGTGGTATTAATTAATGCACCCCTCTAACTTTCCCTCTGGCAGAGTACCCGTATCTTCTGGTTAACATTCACAGAAACTCTAGAATTCTTATTTTTCCTCCACTTAAGGTCACACAGAGGAGAAGATGCCATTGCTTTCTTAAATGCATACCTTTCAACAAGACAGGAGCACACAGAGCCATGGCATCTGTTACTCTCTCCCTTGCTTGCCCTCCATTTTTTTAATTGCGACATTTACTAAAATAGTGCAGACTCAGTAGTGCACCTTAAACTTCTGAACTGCAACTGAGATAATCTTTCCACAAAATCTGATTTCTGCATGGAGCTGGTAGACATTCAAGAAACAAACTGATTAACTTGTTGTATCAGGTCTTGTTCCCCCTAAATAATGCAAACCACCTCAGACTGTGAATAAATTCATCAGATATCTCTGGATTAGATTCCCATTCACCTACTAACAAGATTAACAAGGAAAATATAAGGTACTGTACTTCAGGGAGTGATTCTTCTGGGGAAAGCACTTGTCTGTCTTAGTCATCTACTATATATTTGAGAGAATTTGTATATGTTTGTCTATCTGTGAGTCTGTTTGTTCAAGAACTCCTCTTAAACAGTAAGAGCTAAGACCACCAAATATGGTATGCAGCTTCTTCTTATAACTTAAAGCAAGGTTTGATTGTGCCAAGACAATGGGATGTGGAATTTGATTGTTTCTCATCAAATGGAAAGGAAGGGCTCTGACTGCAGGGACAGTTAAACTCCACAATGACCACAGGGGGCAGTAAGTGCCCCAATCTTGGGGAGCAGCCACCGGCCAGGCAGCATAACCCCTGGTGCTCCTGGGAAGCAGCCACCAACCAGCCATCACAGCCCCTGCTGCCCCTAGGGAGTAGCTACCAATTGGCCAGTATAGTGCCCACTGCCCTGGGCTGGTCCCAGGGAGCAGTCACTGGTCACCCAGCATGGTCCCTGCCACTCCATGACAGCCACAGGGAGCACCCCCCAGCCACCCCGCCCTGATCCCTACCCCACTTCCAACTTCCTGCTTTGACTTCTTTACCTCCACACTCAGCCCTGACTCCTGCACCCCTAAACCTTCCTACCTCCTAACCCTGTACCCTGACTCCTGCATCCCCCATCCTCTGTTCTGAGCCTCTCTTCACCCCCAACCCTGACTCTTGCAACCCCCACAACCTTAGCTCCCTGCCCTGAGCCCCCCACATCCCAAGCCCCTGCCCTGACTCCGGCACCCCCCACACCTACAATCCCCTGCCCTCAAGGACCCAAGCAATGCTTGATAAATCTTCTAGTATAACACTTAATATGCTTAAAATGCAGTGATTAATTAGTCTGAGCTGTGGTCCTGTGTTGAGATAGGTAATGCTGTGCTGTTGAAGTCTGCCAGCCTGAAAAACTGAAGTGCTAACAATTTGCCATTAAATGTCCTGTGGCATTTTTTTTGCAAGGAATGTTAATTTTTATGTCCTGATAGGCTTCAGTATAAACAAATTTGGCTGACCTAGAATTCCCCTTCTAGATGAACCTAAATACAATATTCTTTATTTATTTCTAGATCCATACGATTGTGTAGGTTTTCTGCTGTGTTTATTAGCTGTCACCTTCCTCGGTCATAGATGAAGTAGATTACATACCTAGAATCTGTGCTTCAGGATGTAAAGATGCACAGAAATATCAGCTGTTTCTATCCAAGTGATCCTCACCCTGCTTTAAACTTTTGTCTTCTGTCTTCTCAGAGAGACTCTGCGGGAAGTGCTGCATCTCCTAAGGAGCACTGGTAATCCTCAGGTAGAGTATATCATCCGCATCATGAAGAAGTGGGCCAAAGAGAACAGAGTGCCTGTCTAAAACAGCACCACCAAGAAAATCAGGTCAGCTGCCCTCTTTTTGTGCATATCTAGAGGGCATGGAACTTAGCCCTCTCCTCTTCATTCACCCCACCTGCCTGCCTGTGCGCGACATGTGTGTGCGCGCGCGCACACACACACACACACACCCCCCTCTCATCTTTGTAGTCTTAGCCCTCTCCGTTCACCCTACCTGCCTGCCTGCGTGCACGCACACACACACCCTCTCATCTTTGTAATCTTCTTTCAGGGCTGGTTTACACACATACCGCACGCACGCACACCCCATCTGCCCCTCATCTTTGTAGTCTTCTTTCAGGGCTGGTTTATCGTTAAACATGACTGCCAAACTCTCAGATGGAGCAAGAAGAGTACCACAGTTGGACTGTAAAAAAATTTCCATGAGTTTGCTAAGGAGCATTTCTTTGAACAGAAAAGGGGGATGAATTTCATGCTCTTTCCATCCAAATCTTAGTGGCATTTTTTTTGTTCTACACCAATCTCAGTGTCTAGTCCAAGGATTTTCAACCTTTTCCATACTTTGATTCCAACATTCAGCAACTCAACCTGCCTCTCACATGCACTCCAGATTCCTTTGTACCAACTCTAATAGTACTGCAGAAGATATACTGTGGCAGTTGGAGAGGTTTGTATTTTAAAATAGTTCTCGTGGCTTCCAAAGAAGAATCGTCTTTAAAATGGCTCAGCAAATCTGCTTCAACACAATAATGTTGAAGACAAATGGAAGAAGGATTGTGTTATCTTAGGGTATGTCTACACTACCCCGCTATTTCGAACTAGCGGGGTAATGTAGGCATACCGCAATTGCAAATGAAGCCCGGGATTTGAATTTCCCGGGCTTCATTTGCATAAGCCGGGCGCCGCCATTTTTAAATCCCGGCTGGTTCGAACCCCGTGCCGCGCGAACTACCGTTACTCCTTGTGGAATGAGGAGTAACGGTAGTTCGAACTAGGAAGCCTAGTTCGAACTACCTAGTTCGTGCCGCGTGTAGCCGCGTGGCACGGGGTTCGAACCAGCCGGGATTTAAAAATGGCGGCGCCCGGCTTATGCAAATGAAGCCCGGGAAATTCAAATTCTGGGCTTCATTTGCAATTGCGGTATGCCTACATTACCCTCCTATTTTGAAATAGGAGGGTAGTATAGACATACCCTTCGTGACTGACTTAAACAGTTAACATGCTTTTAATATTCCTGGCCTATTTCAGGGCCAGCATTCCAAGCAACATCCATTTTGTAGATGGATCCTGCTGACCAATTACTAGCCTCTTTATTGCTTTCCTTTTTGTCCAAAACGATTTGTCATCCCTTGTCCAAAGTCAGATTGATTAGTTTCATGTTCAGAATTAACCACAAATGCAGGGCTCCAAAATTGCTGATTAGTTTCATGTTCAGAATTAACCACAAGCAATTTTGGAGCCCTGCATTTACTTATTTTCAAGGAGGATAATTACAAGATTTGGGGGATTACTTACCAAAGCATGAGGTCTGATTGAGCTGTTTCTTGCTATTGAGCCTTATTCTGCAAACATTTGTGCATGTTATTAAGTTTAATCATGTGAATTGTACCATCAGTTTACTTTTTGGAAGGATAAAGTTATTTATGTTTATTTACAGGATCAGACTGTTTGTCAATCGCTATCATAGGACTGGAAGTTAACCTCCTCAGTGGTTAACTGTCGTGTGTTTGCTTGACAGTTTTGCTCAGCAAATATTCTGCTGTGTTTCAAGGGGGTCTGAACAGGGAACTGTGGAGAATCCTTTTCAGGACATAGCACTTAATCCTAAAGAAGGTGAAATTATAAGAAAAAGGCACAATGGATACGATGTAGAAACACATTGTAGTGTTTACAGTACATAAGATTTGTACATTATTTGTAAAGAAAAACTGCTTAACTTACAAAGTATTTTTGTACCTTGCTAGAAAGTATTTAATTTAACACTATGCTACTTGATTAATACTTATACTTGGATTTTCTGTACTTTGATTAAAAATTATACTTGGATTTTCAGTCTAACTTCTTGCTTGGCTTTGTTGCCTCATTATGATGAGGCTGGTAATTGAGATGACAAATTTATTTCACTTCAGAAGTGGGCAGATGTGTAAATTGACTGAATGCCAAATCAGCATTTCATGGTCAGATGAAGATGAACCATGTTAAAGCAGCCTGACCCAAGAGCCTATGTACTTACCTTTGATGTTGGATTCTGAAATGAGGGTAGCTGGATAACCCTTATATTTGTAAGTGGTGTTGGTTCTGCTTTTTCTTACTCCCGAAGAGATTCTGAATTCTCCCCAGCTTCTAAAGAATAGGCGCTTATCTTTTAAGATATCAGTAGGTCTCTGCTGGAGATAAGGAACTTCATTTACCTTTTATCATCTTACTACAGCAGAAGCAAAGGTATTTCTGCAGCATGCCCAAATCTTCAAACAAGAACTTCTACCTGTATCACAATGTGATGTCTGGAATGATTTGAGAGGCTGTAGGTCACCTGCTTTTATACAAAAATAAGAAAGGATTCCATTTTAAGGACCCCATCATGATAGTGGTACAAATAAAGTTCTCAAACTGACAGGAACAAGGGTAGTGTCACCATGTTGCAAAAAGAGACCACATAAAATGCTGTCACCAAAGGCAATTACATAAAACATTCAATTTGTAAGAGATATTTTTATTTTCCTTGACAGTCTAATTAACTTGAAAACAGTTTGGAATGGCTGCTGTGGGTCTTGGTTAAAGCTACAGAAAAATCAGTGTGGTGACTTTGTAACAGATGTTAAATGCAGCTAATCATTCTGTTCACTGATGCTTAATCAGCAGAAAAGCCTGAGAACCCCCAGATCCACTGCTAATCTTTAACAAGTTAGGTGAATATCCCACAGCAACACATTTTAAGGCACTGTAGACTGGTAGACAACAATAATTAAATCATAGGACTGGAAGAGACCTTGAGAGCTCTTTAATCTAGACCCGGCACCCAAGGCAGGACTAAGTATTACCTAGACTGTCCCGGACAAGTGTTTGTCTAACTTGCTCCTAAAAATATCCAATGATGGAGATGCCACAACTTCCTTAGGCAATTTATTCCAGTGCTTAGCTATTCTCACAGATGGGAAATCGCCTTTTTCTTCTTTGAGGAGTGTCCCTGTGGGTGTTCCATCATAGGTGTCTGAGCACCTCTGTGCTTCTAATCGAGATTTTAAGTAGCTGTGCCCATGTTCGACTGAGCACATGGAGCAGCTGATGCACATCATTTGAAACTGCTACTCCTCATGTTCAGCCAACCATCCCTTCAGTTCCTTCTTTTATCGTTGTCAGCTTCAGTAGGAACCCAGCAGTTGCCCTCAAGCATCAGTTAGTGTTATCATTTAGATAGTTATTAATAGCAGTTTCCTAGTTTTTTCCTCAGTTTTAACAGTCCGTAGTTAGTAGTGTAGTTGTTAAAAAAATTCATAGGACAACTTGAGTTAGTTCTAGTTCTAGGTTTTTAAGGTTCCTGCATTCCAGTAACGGCTGTTTTCTTGGGACATGCTTGGTTCACCTGGCTTTAAGAGGGGTATAACCTGCAGGCTGTCCATTCCCATCTCAGACGGACATTCCCAGTGTGTTCGCTGCTTAGACGAAGAGCAGTCTACCTCCCAGTGCCCCCACTGCAAGAAACTCACCAAAAGGACCAGGAAAACCAGGGAGCTATAGTTAAAAATGATGATCCTTGAGAAAATAGTCTGACCTGCTTCTGACCCAGAGCACACTACACTGCTCAGGCAACCGTCTCCTGATGTAGCCTCTGAGACAGTAGCTCCCGCAAGGTTGAGCCCCAAAGGCTCTTGATAGGGCTCAGGTGCCCAAGAAGATATCCCATTCCTCTTCAAGCTCTGACTCCCCCTCAAGGTAATGCTCTCTCCATAAGAAAGCTGCCCTGGCACCAGCTGCACTGAAGATGCCTGAAAAGGAAGCAACTGGCAAGTCCGACACGAACAAGGGCCAAGACTCTAAGGAGGAGGCTTGATCCTCCTCCAAGGCACCAACAGAGGCAAAGCAAAAGCCTCTGGTGTTGGCACTGGCCAAGGCCCTGCTGGCACCGACCACAGTACCAACCAGACCATGTTCAGCACTGGCACCGAACGCTACCATGCCACTGCCCATGGCACCATCACTCTGAGCCCATATGAAACAAATGGTGCTGCCAATGCATGCTAAGCACTCAGCACTGGCAATTCAACCTACATTGCCACAAACTGCCCCAGTACCAGCTCCACTGCCTAGCACAGTAGTCCCCAAACTTTTGGGGCTGCTGGGCGCCCAGGGGCGGGACCACACATGCGCTGGGCACCCGAGACGCAAGAATGACTCGGACCGGCTCTGGTCACCAGGCAGGTACACATCTCATGGTCTCCTCGGTGCTCGGGAAGCTGCGTACACATAAATGCCCCAGCGGGCACCATGATCTCATGGTCTCGGTGCTCGGGAAGCTGTTGTTCAGCACCAACAGCACCCCAAATACATCCCATTTTAGTTTACCCTTGCGGGATCAGCTCTACCATTGTCCAGCGACAACAGTGATGACAATCCTCTGGAGATACATACTCCAAGACATTGTTCTCCTAAGCCGAGCAAACAGCCTCTCCAGTGGAAACCATCGCAGTGGCTGCTATCACCAATCCCTTCCAGCTAGCTGTACTGGGACCCATGGGCTGCATACCAGACACAGCAACCACAACAGCCACAGCAACCTTTCCCAGCACCCAGGTCCCAGGCACCCACCACCTGACCAATCTCTCTCTGAGGGAGAGGAGAAGGCAGAAGATGTAATGGGTGAGGAGCAAACACCTGACTCTCCTCCATCCACTTACCTGTCATCTTCATCATCTGATGACACAATCATGCCCCTACCTCCAACTGCGGGGATGATTTCAAGTCATTCCAAGAGCTCTTCAAAAGAATGGCACACTCCCTGGAAATCCCATTATCAGCCGTGCCAGAGAATCAGCATAAGCTGACAAATATACTTCATGCCTCTCCTTATGCCAGGCTTGCATTCCCTATGATGGATCCAGCAAAAACCATCTAGCAGATGCTTGCAACAATATCCGCAACATGGAAGAGGTCAGACAAAAAGTATTACATAGCCCCCCCAAAGGGGCAGACTTCTTATTCTCCCACCCTACTACAAATTCTCTGGTGGTGGATGCTGGTAACAGGTGGGGTCGGCAACAAACAGCCTGCACAACACCTTATGACAAGGACGGGAAGAGATTGGATTTGTTTGGGAGGAAGGCGTACTCTTCAGCCAGCCTTCAGCTCAAAATCTTATACAGTTCTTCTTGTGAAATACACTCACAACATTTTTGACCAGTAGACAACCTTTATTGAATTCCTCCCAGACAACAAAAGAGAGCAATTTAAATCAAATATCAATTAGAGTGCTCTAGTCTCCCGAACAGCCCTAAAGGCCACATTAGACTTGGCCAACATGACGGCTAGATCCATCTCTTTGGCAGTGGTGATGAAATGGGCCTCATGGACGCAGCTCTCTGCGAGCTGCAGTCCACAGTTGAAGATCTGCCTTTTGAGGGCACTAAACTTTTCGCTGAGTCCTCTGATGCCTCGCTGGACACTTTTAAGGATTCACAAGCCATGCTCAAGATGCTCAGCATCCATGACCCTGTCATAAAAAGAAATCAGGGAAGGTCGCTTACACAGAGATACAGACCAATGCCTTTTAACCAACAGAATAGACAATACGAGAAAAAGTGCCAACCACGCCGAATAGGCGTAGACAGACATCCAATCAGACATCAGCCCCACAACCATCCACTTCACATCAGACCTTTTGAAGTGTTGGTCGAGGGTCTGACAGCCCCAATATTTGCACGGCAGCAATCCACCTCATCCACAACATTTGGCAAGAGACTAGACTCATTTTATTCAGTGTGGCCCAGCATCACCACTGATAGGTGGGTGCTAGAAATTATTCTAACTGATTACTGTATTCCATTTTCAGTTACCCCTCTCTCACATCCCTTTGCAGAGACCCCTCTCATGAGGATGTGTTCCTGCATAAATTGGACCATCTCCTTCAACTAGCCAATTAGCCCGTCATAAGACGGGATTTTCAGGTATCTCCTCCACGTCAGTCTTCTCTCCTGAGCGCTTGCGCTCTCTCTCCTCCTCCTCCCTCTCTCTCTCTCTCTCTCAGCTCTCTTCCCCCTTCTGCCGTCTCTATCTTTCTCTTCTCCCCCTCCTGCCTCTTATTCTTCCTTTCTCTTCTCCTCCTGCCTCTCTCTCTCCACTCCATCTCTCTCTTTCTCTTCTCCCCCTCCTGCCTCTCACTCTCTCTCCACTCGCCTCTGTCTCAGTCAGGGATGCATGAATGGGGCAGGCAGCACCCTGGGATCTGCACATGCCCGGGTGAGTCCGGCTCTATGGGCATGGTGCATTCCACAAAACATCCACCTAATCAACCTACCTATCAGGTAAAGAAAATGTGCTGGCAGACAACGTCAGCAGACACTTTCCACAGAACCACGAATGGGAACTCAACTCTTCGGTGCTGGTTCCTCTGTTCAGACAGTGGGGATTCCCCGCAGTGGACTTGTTCGTAACTCATTCGAACACCCAATGCTGCAACTATTGCTCCAGGGTAGTGATAGGCCACCACTCTCTAGGGGACGCATTCAGTGTAAAATAGGAAATGCCCCTGCTATATGCATTCCCATGTTTTCACTCCTTCAACAGGTAATTCTCAAAATAAAACAGGACAAGGCCTGGGTCATTCTCATAGCCCCCCGGTAGGCCCAGACAAACATGGTATCTGTACCTGCTACATATGAGTTTAGCTTCTCTGTGGTGCTTCCTGCCAGTGTCATCTCTGCTCACACAAAAGAACGGACAGCTACATCTTCTCAAGGTACAGGCTCTCCACCTCCAGGTGTGGCTTCTGGCTGGCTGCTTCCTCCTGAAACTGCATGTCCTGCATCTGTACGGGAGGTCATCATGAACTGCCATAGACCCACTACAAGAAAGATATATAAACATAAATGGCATAGTTTTACAGTATGGTGCTCTGAACACAAATGTCCACCAACATCCACAGACCTCCCACACATTTTTCCAATACTTATTTTGTCTAAAGCATTTTGGTCTCTCCCTTAGCTCTATCAGGGTGCACATGGCTGCAAATGTAGTGTTCCATCCCCCCATAGACAACTACTCCATCTTAGCACACCCATTGATGAAGTGCTTTCTCAGAGGCCTACACAATGTTTCCATCAGTGAGAGACCCAGCGCTAGCATGAGACTTAAACTTAGTGCTGAGAGTAATAACAGGCAAATCTTTCAAACTGCTGGCCACCTGCTCATTGCTTATCTCTCGATGAAAGTTTCCTTTCTTGTGGCAATGACATCAGCACATAGAGTAGGCAAGTTAGGGGCTCTCATGACGGACCCTCCTTACACTGTCTTTCATAAAGATAAGGTAGTCTTCCTTGCACACCCGAATTTACTTACTAAGTCTTCTATCCTAAACCTCACAAGGACAGCAGGGAAGCAGCCTCGCATACCTTAGACATCCACGGGGCAATTGCCCTTTACCTAGAATGCACAAAACCCTTCTGAAAATCTCCAAAGTTCTTCATTTCAACCACAGAGAGGTCTTAGAGTCTACCTATTTCAAAACAGAGGCTATCCAGATGGATCTCAGGATGCATACATCTTGGCTGTGTCTAGACTGGCAAGTTTTTCCACAAAAGCAGCTGCTTTTGCGGAAAAACTTGCCAGCTGTCTACACTGGCCGCTTGAATTTCCGCAAGAACACTGACAATCTCATGTAAGATTGTCAGTGTTCTTGCCGAAATACTATGCTGCTCCCGTTCGGGCAAAAGCCCTCTTGCGCAAATGCTTTTGCGCAAGAGGGCCAGTATAGACAACGTGGTATTGTTTTGCGCAAAAAAGCCCCGACCATGAAAATGGCAATCGGGACTTTCTTGTGCAAAACTGCGTCTAGATTGGCACGGACGCTTTTCTGCAAAAAGTGCTTTTGCGGAAAAATGTCCGTGCCAATCTAGGCGCTCTTTTCCGCAAATGCTTTTAACAGAAAATCTTTTCCGTTAAAAGCATTTGCGGAAAATCATGCCAGTCTAGACATAGCCCTTGTGTATAGCATATTCCAGCAGGAGCCCCCAGCAGCCATTTAGGTTCATTCCACAAGAGCAATGACAGCATCCATGGCCTTCCTCCAGGGCATACCTTCCTCCTCTGCAGAGCTGCCACCTGGGCTTCAACACATACATTTTACAACCACTATGCCATCAAGACCTAGTCCGCTTTTGATACTCTGTTTGGCCGAACAGTATTTTCTGTAACCAATTCAGGTCTCCCGAAGCTCCCTCTACCAAATATGATGAGTGCTTCATAATCATCTAGAGTGGAGCACCCACAGGGACACATCTCAAAGAAGGGAAGGTTACTCATCTGGTGCAGTAACTGAGGTTCTTCAAGATGGTTGTTCCAGTGGGTACTCCACCACCCATCCTTATTCCCCTCTGCTTTGGAATCTCCCATGTGTAGGGCAGAAGGAACTGAAGAGATGGTTGGCTATGCATGCGGAATAGTTATTTCAAACCGTGCACTGGCTACTCCGCAGGGCAGCTGACTGTAGGCACTACTATCTAAAATCTTCTATTAGAAGTGCAGCGGCGCTCAGACACCTAAGGTGGAACACCTGCACTGACAACCATCTCGAAGAACCTCAGTTACTGCCCCAGGTGAGTAAACTTCTAGGTGTTTGCAATTGATTACTTAATTCTTTGTTCCATTATCTTTCTGATTACTGAAGTTAAACTGATTGGCCTATAATTCCCCAGGTTGTCTTTGTTTCTTTTTTAATAGATTAGCACTTCTTTGAAGTTTACATCATAACTGATCAAATCCAACTTAATGTATACAATCAGGCTGTCTTCTGTCAATCTTATGGCAGGGGGCTGGTGATGTGGAGGTGCAGGAGACTGGGTTGGGGTATATGAGGTGCTCAGGGCAGGAGATTGGGTGTATGATGGACTCAGGGCACAAGGTTGGGGTGTGTGGGAGTACAAGGGTGTTGTGGGCAGGGGGCTGGGGGTGGAGGGGGGGAGGACTTTTGGGGGGTGG